CCTCCTGCAGCCCCTACACCCCACCCTATTTCTGTCACCTCCTCCAGCCCCTACTCCCCTCCCAATCTCTGTCACCTCCTCCAGCTTCTATACCCCGCCTCCTCTCCGTCACCTCCCGTGGCACTTACAAACCTCCATCTCTGTTACCTCTTCCAGCCCCTACAACCCTCCCTACCCACCTCCTCCAGTCCCTGCAATCCTGTATGTTCTTCCTGTTCTGGGTTCTTGCTCATCCCCTAGTGTTCACAGTGCTGCTGTTCCTTCCACTGCCAGGGCCCTAAGCTGTGGAATTTCCTTTCTGCATCTCTCGATCTCTGCCCTCTGCTCTATTGTAACACTCTTGAAAACTGACTTCTTTCACCGAGCATTTATTCACCAGCCCTAACTCCTCCATCTCTGTTTTTTTATTGAGGTATTCTCTGTGAAGTACCTTGGAACATTTTATTATATTCAAGGCACTATATACATACTAGTTGTTTTTCTACCCAAGTGCCCAAGTAACTTTGTTTCTTTCTGATTTGAAGCTATAGATTTTTTCGTAGAGTTTAGGTCCTCAGTATTCACCTGGAACGTGGTGTCACTTGGAGACTAGACCACAAAGAATGTCATATCAGTTCGGACCTAATGCAAGATGACCATCACTAATAGAGATAGATCCCATTGAGAATTATAGTCCTGGATTTGAATACACAGTGAGTCCATGTTGGAGTATCTTCCATTTATTAAATTAGGAACCTCCTTACAATTGATTGGATATAGATTTCTCAGCAATGTTATGCTCAGCTAAGTAGCTCCTGGATGATACTAACATCACCTTTTCCTTTCTCACAGTCCGCAAGATGTCATTGTGTTTATCATCGGAGGAGCGACATATGAGGAGGCACAGACTGTCTACAATCTGAACCGTACCAATCCAGGAGTGAGGATTGTGCTGGGTGGAACGACCATTCACAACACCAAGAGGTAAGGGCAAGTCAGGGCACCTGGGAATGGAATTTCTAATACTGGCCAGCTGATGAGCAGATTCCCACGGGGTTACAAACCTCAGACCTGGTCAGTTAGTCCTGACCCTCAGTGTGTCTTACAGCTAAGCTTGTGCTATTCTCAACAGCATGCTGGTGAAAACAGTAAGATTCCAGGATTGAAGCCTGTCAAGGAGAAGGGAGGGACCAGAATGAGAATCTTGCATAAATAGTAACCAGGGTTCCTATACCTGATCAGATTGTGGTGAAACAGAGCGAACTTAGATTCCAGGTGCACAGTTCTCTGGAAGTGGAGTCCCAGGTTGGGGATGGGGGGTTTGGCGTGCTGGTCTTCATCGGTCGGGTCATTGAGTGTGGAAGTTGGGAAGTTATGTTCAGTTGTGCGGGACTTTGGTGAGGCCGCACTTGGAAAATTGTGTTCAGTTTTGGTCACCATTCTATAGGAAAGAGTGCAGAAGAATATTGCAGGGTTGTTGCCAGGACTCAAGGGAATCAGTTTGGGGAGAAGTTGGACAAGCTAGGACTTTTTTGTTTAGAGCATAAGAGAATGAGGAGATATCTTATAGAAGTATATAAGATCACGAGAGGCATGGATCGGTTGAAAGTCTTTTTCCCAGGGTTTGGGAATCGGGGACTAGAGGGCATCAGTTTAAGGTAAGAGGGGAAAGAATACATGGGGACCTGAGGGGCAACTTTTTTACGCCGAGGGTGGTACACATATGGAATAAGCTGCCAGCGGAAGTAGTTGAGGCAGGTACATTAACAACATTTAAAAGACATTTGGAAAAATACATGGATAGTAACAGTTTCGAAGATCTGGGCCAAGTGCAGGGAAATGGGGTTAGCATGGATGGACAATTTGGTCGGCATGGATCAGTTTGGACCGAAGGGCCTGTCCCCGTGCTGTAGGCCTCTATGCCTGTATGTTGGGACAGCTTGTGAGAACAAGATTGGGCTAACTGCAGTGCTGTTGTTCTGAAGGATGGTTTAATGTATTTGGTCCATTGGGATTAGAAGTAAAATACATTAGAAGTAAGAGTAAAAGGTGTTGATCCATTGACAACATCTACATGGTTGTGATTGCATTTTAGGATATCCTTGTGTGGAAGAACAGTTTTATTTTCATTTATGTATTGTGTTGCCCCAAAAGGGAATTCAATGAAAGTAAATTACTTTCAAATACAGTTCCTGTTGTTGTGTGATGTAGCCAGTATCCACACTGCAAGGTCTCAGTTACATCAGTGGCATGAAATAGTTCATCTGCTTTTAATATTGCATGTTAACTTTTGGGTTTTTAAACAGTAAAGTAAGTAATTTCAGACGACAGGATGTTTGTGTTTCAGTTCCAACTCCATGAACCCTGTCTGGTGGTCATATACAACTAAGACATCTGCTACTTGGAATTTATTCAGGGCCCTTAAAGAGTTTGTGAACCAGGCTTTAAACCACAAATGTTGGAGGTGCAAATGTCTGATAAAATGTGATAGGTCAGAACTGACCTTGGTCTAAGCCCCAGTTCTTTACAGTTTGATGTCATTCCCTCCTGACTTAATGTCACTTTCCTCAGTCTCAGTATTTAGACACATAAATTGCACAATAGTACAGCCTGCAGAAATCAGCATGGTGAGTTACACACCCTCCCCCACTCGAGGTCTGAGTTAAATGCCTACTCCAGCAGAAAGTCCAATTCCTTCTGCTGGGAAGTATTCTCCTGTTAATGAAGCTTCCTTTGTGTTCACAGCCAGTGCAGAATTTGACTAGGATTTATCACAGTTCCTGGAGACTAAAACACCTCTTCTTTAATGGACACTTCTCTTGCAATGCCATGCCCTCACCCCAACCCTCTGCCTCATACATTGAGTCAGCCTGTTACAGCACCTGCCCTCACTCTGTCCCATGCCCCTTGGGGCTAGTAACATGAGGCTTCTCAAACAATGTGACAGGTGCTTGTCACTACACCTCTCCCCATACTAGCAGCTGCTCACAGTCCCTGTGGGAGTACTCCCTCCTGAATAAAGAACTGAAAAGTTTGATTGGAAACTAGTGTGTAAATTATTGCACTAATTCATGTAGCTGTGCGCTTCGAGGACAAATGTTGTTTTAGTTTAGATTTTTATCCCTGACAGACATACTGGCCATTCTTACAGCTAGGTTTATCCTCCATTTTAAGATGCCAGAGAAAATGTTTTGGTTTATTTATTACGTCTGCTGAGATTGAACAATTAAAATCTGTATTTGGTAATAAAATGCCCTGATTCATTGTGAGCCTGTTGATTGGTGGCCACAGAGCCATTCCAAGACCTCGCTAGTCAGTAACTTTATCGCACTCTCCTCTGTTACACGCAGCTCAGCTGATGCTGCCTCTCAATAATTTAAAGCAGGTTGATTTTCACCAAAGACAATGATGATAACAAATGGAAATTTCACATTACTTCCATAATATTTGTACTGTGTGTAGGAAGGGTGCAGGGTGACTGAGCAGGGGATGAGGGAATAAGGCAGAAGCGAGTGACTGGGGAGAGGACACTGGGCTTGTGAACATGGTAAAGGGTAAGTGAGCTAGAGGTGAATGGCAAGGGTGAGGAAAGGGGACTGTGGCATGGGGGGTGGGAAACAAACTAGCTCAGGATGGAGAGAATTTGAGTATGGTAAGTCTATTCCCTTAAGATTAATAGAATGAATGATGATCTCATTTCTTAAATGGTTTTGCAGAACAAATGCTGAGAACAAGTTTCCCCTGACTGCAAATGTAAAACATAATGTCACAATCTCAGGATGATGGCTTGGCCATTTCGAACTGACATGAATTTTTTTTCATCAAAGGATTGTTAATCTTTGAGATTTTCCACACCAGAGAGCTGTGGATGCTCACCTGTTGGGTATATTCAGGACTGAGAATGGTAAAATACTATGGGAATTAAAGGATATTGGGAGAGTGTGGATGGTCACAAGGAGATCAAGGATCAGCTATGATCATTGAAAGATGGAAGAGGCTTGTAGGGTCAAGTGACCTATTGCTAGTCCTTTTTCTTATAGTCAGTGGACAGAGAGTTGGGGAAACCGATGAGAGGGGACTAAAACACTGTCTGGTCCATCACCTCTGTGGTAGCTCTGTGAAGAATCTACACATTAGATCCAATTCCCTGCACTTTTGAAAATTAAGAAAATATTTCTCCATAAGAACTATTCTGGATCCCATTTTCACTCTCATTTCTGGTTGGACGTTTTGTATCCTGAATATGCTCCTAGTTGCTCCCTCGATGTTATTGGCATGATCTATTTTCTTTTTAATCGTCTGGTTGAACCAAAGGGTCTGTTTCTGCGCTCTATGACTCTATGATATGATTTTTCTCTACTTGCATTAAGAAAATCCTTCAGAATCAGAGCATCGGTATCAGATCTTCCTCTTTTTTTTCCCCGACTTTGGTGTCTCTCACCCTGTCTCCAATTCCTATTCCTTTGACCAGCTGGTCTTTGAGATCTTTATTTCCTTCTGTGGTTTTTACAGCCTAAGCCATAGGTCCTTTAACTGTAACAGAGGTTCTTGGTAGTACTGTGAATGTTGGGCAGCTCAAATAACAATGCTAGGATGTTACTGCTCCAAGGTGTGTGCACAGGAGAGAAGTTAATATTTCAGTGCCTGAAGTTGCTGTTGGGCCTTGGGATCCAGGATCCTTGATGTGTTCCTGAGATTTGTGACTTGTAGACTATAGCCCTGGAGGGTCGGTTCCTGTGTTCTGTGATGGAAGTCCTTTTCCATGGGAATCTACTTGCTTTCATGCCAGCTGCTACTTCTGGGTTGCAATCTCATCTTTAAGTTAGAAGGTTGTGGTTGAGAGTCCAACTTTTGCAATCGCAACAGGAAAAATTCAGTGCAGAACTGAGTGAATGCTGCACTGTCGGAGGGTCAGTGCTGAGGGAGCATCCCACTGTCAGAGGGTCAGGGCTGAGGGAGTGCCGCGCTGTCGGAGGGTCAGGGCTGAGGGAGTGCCGTGCTGTCGGAGGGTCAGGGCTGAGGGATTGCCGTGCTGTCGGAGGGTCAGTCCTTGAGGAGCACTCTTCCGTTGGACAGTCAGTACTGAGGAAGCGCCGTGCTGTTGGATGGTCAGTTCTAATGGGATGCTGCACTGTCGGAGGGTCAGGGCTGAGGGAGCGCCGCACTGTCAGAGGGTCAGTCCTTGAGGAGCATTCTTCTGTTGGACAGTCAGTACTGAGGAAGCGCCGTGCTGTTGGATGGTCAGTTCTAATGGCATGCTGCACTGTCAGAGGGTCAGTGCTGAGGGAGCGCCGCACTGTCGGAGGGTCAGGGCTGAAGGAGCGCCGCACTGTCGGAGGGTCAGTGCTGAGGGAGCGCTGCACTGTCGGAGGGTCAGTGCTGAGGGAGCGCCACACTGTCGGAGGGTCAGGGCTGAGGGAGTGCCGCACTGTCAGAGGGTCAGGGCTGAGGGAGTGCCACACTGTCAGAGGGTCAGTCCTTGAGGAGCACTGGCCCGTTGGACAGTCAGTACTGAGGAAGCGCCGTGCTGTTGGATGATCAGTTCTAATGGCATGCTGCACTGTCGGAGGGTCAGTGCTGAGGGAGCGCCGCACTGTCGGACGGTTAGTATTGAGGCAATGCTGCGCTGTCAGAGGATCAGTCCTCAAGGAGCACCATCGTACTGGAAGGTCAGTGCTGTGCGTGAACCATTCAGTTGGTGTTACTGTATTTGTTTTTAAACAAGACATTAAACTGAAACTCTCCCTGCTGTGAAGTGTTGAATGATTCCATTATACTATTTTGAACATGAACAAAGGCTTCTCCCTGGTGTCCTTGTTCACTATTTATCTCTCAACCAACATCAGTGAAACAGAGTATCTAGTCATTATTCCCATTTATGGGAGTTTAGTCTGAGTATGTTGGACTTTGCATTTCCTACATTTCAACAGTGACTACACTCCGAAATGTACTTTGAGTTGTAAAGTCGTTGGGAAGGTTGTGAATATGTGGAAGATGCAATTTAAATGCAAGCCTATCTTTTCATTGGAAGCGTTGGAAAAGGTGCAGAGGAGATTTACCAGGATGTTGCCTGGAATGGAGGGAAGGTCTTACGAGGAAAGGTTGAGAGAGCTAGGGCTTTTCTCTTTAGAACGACAAAGGATGAGAGGTGACTTGATAGAGGTGTACAAAATGATCAGAGGTATAAATTGAGTGGACAGCCAGAGACTTTTTTCGTAGGGTGGAGGTAGCTATTACGAGGGGGCATAGTTTTAAAGCGAGTGGAGGTAGATATAGGGGAGATGTCAGAGGTAGCTTCTTTACTCAGAGAGTGGTAGGGGTGTGGAACGCATTGCTGGAGCGGGTAGTGGAGTCAGCCTCGTTAGGGGCATTTAAGCTGCTATTAGATAGGCATATGGATGATAGTATAAGGTAGGGGTGGAGGTTAGATAGACCTTAGGATTAGGGAAAAAGTTTGGCACAACATCGTGGGCTGAAGGGCCTGCACTGTTCTGTGTTCTATGTTCTATTTTCCTTACTTTCACTAGTTTTCTCGAAGAAGTTGCAGCTTCAGGAATCCAGAGCCGAGTATCGGAGAGACCACGTGGAGTGAGCCGATCATCAAGACGATGAAGTCCTGGGATATCCTTGGTTCTACCTTTCCTAACCATCATATTTCTAAATGATCTGGACTATGATTTGGGCTAGTGTGACTGTTCCTGCTGTTGTGAATGCTTTGTTTCTCCTTGTTTCATTAAATACAAATTTAAATTCAAGCTCACAGACTCCTATTTGGGAACGTTTTCTCTAGAAATATGCTGCTTCATTATTCCTAGGGTCTGTCTGACAAGTTGCTGCTTTCAACTTCCACTCATTCTGCTTTTTTTAGATGATTTAGTATATACAGCTTTTATTGAATGGAATATTTTTGGCTAGAGTTGATGATATCTCCTTGCGACTGATGTGTAGTTCATAGAGAAAAAACAGAAAAGGCTGAGTGTTTTCAGCAGTTTCTGTTTGCGTTTCAGATCTCCAGCATCTGCAGTTCTTTGTTTCATTCTACTGTAGTTCATGAAGACCTACCTATTTGGCTTACCCCACACCTGAGACTATATAATACCCACTTGTTTCTCATTAATGCAAGAGACATCACTATGGTCCTTTAAAGGTGCAGAATAAAATCCTACCCCCAAATCACCCCTCCTTGTTTCTCAATTTACTCAGTGCCATTGGTGGAGAGTCTAGATGGAATGGGAGTTTCAGGATATTAGGTGCTCTCTGATCCTCCTCCAGCTGTCCTTTTTTCTTCTCTGAGCTGAGATGGTGGGTGTCAGCTGGATAGTTTACTATGGAGGAATCAATGTTGGGAAAGATCCTCTCCAGCACTTGTCACTTGGTACCCTTCTGTGTCTCTCTCTTTCTGTCTAGCCCTGGAGTCACTGAACAGTGATCAGAGCAGGAACCCTGGCTGATTTCCCTAACTCAGAAATCATTGGATAGTGATGTGGTGTGGGAACCCTGGCTGATCTTCCTCTCTCACTCACTAACTCAGGGGCATTGCTGTTTGTTGTCCGCCAACTGGCACTGAGCTGATTAGGCATTTTGATTGACCCTGCGTTCTTCTAGTCTATATAATTCACCGCTGCACACTGAGCGTTTTTGACCAGTTGAGACTCAGATCGAGCAGTGTGCAGAAGAATTGATCGTGATGCTATTATTGCAGGTTTAGCAGAAAAAAAAACAATTTGCTGACTGTTAGCAAAGAATCCCGTCTCTGATCATTATCCCCTAACGTAATTGTACTGAGTGCTTCATCACTCTGCTTTCCATAAACACTAAATGTCTCGGTTCCAAGAACTAGGAGCACAAATGTATATATATTGCTGTAGAACAGAACATTGTTAGACCCTTTCCCAGTGAAACACCGGATGCTGGATAATGTTCTGATGCAAGTAGATCAATAATGAAATGTTTATTAAATCAGAGCATATAAAGCTTTGACAGCACTTAAAAATTATTCTGTATTCACTCATTTGTGTTCTGTGCACTACAGACCCTACATGTTGCAGATAACTGTGCGTTATAAATGCAGTACGTTACAGGACCAATGTATTACAGATACAGCACATCACAAACTGTGCTTTACAGATGTAGCACCTTTATAAATTTTGTACATTATGCACTCAATACATTAGACTCGTTTAAGGAGTGTAAAGGCAAAATTGTGCAGGCTCCTCTGTAGCTCACTGAACCATATGTAGCAGAAGAGTGTCAGCTTTGAACCAGGTCAGACAGCTAAGTTAGTGGTTGCATTGCCTGTGAAGTACAGAAAGACGAACAAAGCAGCCAAAATTGCTTTTTATTGATGCTTTAAACAGATGCCATTAGGGCTGGTCTGAGCCACGATGCTGTCCTGTGGTCATATATGTTGGTAACATTCATATTCCAGGCTTTCAGACTCAGATTTGCCAACCTGGTGAAATTATTCCAGGGATGCAGTTGAAACTGAAAGTGAGAAATTGTTCAGTTATATTGGTTGTGGGTGATGGCATCCCTTTTAGTTATTTTTAAAATGTTTTGTTGTGATTTTGGTTGCACTTCAGCCTCATGGTCCTGATCTGTGGGCATCCAGTGTGGAGGGGTGTGGCGAGCGGAGGACCTCTTCGTAGATCTGCTGCTGGGCCTGGCCAGGCTGGCTATAAACAGGTCCAGGTTACAGGCTGCGGAGGTTGTCGGGGTGGGGAGGGGGGAACACCTCTGCCAACTGTCGGCCCCTCTTTTTTGTTTGTGCCCGTGTGTCCTTGGAGAGGGAGCGTGTGATGTCTATTAATGCTCTCGATGCCTTTAGAGAGACATGGGCACCGTGGGGGATACAGTGCTTTATTTCCCCCTCCAAATTTATTTTGACTAAGTCCCTTCCCCTCTCCCTACCTTCCCTCATTTATAATAGATTTCATTGTCCTTAACTGGCTTTGCATGTAAACATTGGATTGGCTACATGGGTATTTTCACTGGTGGTGATTATTAAAACAAATGAAAAAAAAGTCACGGTGGTCTGAGGTGATGATCCTGGAGCTGTTCAAGTGGTTTGGATTATGTACAATGCAGAGAATCCAATGCAGAGTCAGTAACATTTGATGGACCATGTCTGATTTAATTTTATTCAGTTCCAATTTCAGTTTTAGGGGCTGACAGATGCTGTAATCTTGATCAACAGTACACCAACAGACCAAAATATTTTGTAATGAACCTCTGTTGCCCGAAAGCTTCAGACCTTCCCTAAACCATAAGGTCAGAAGTGGGGATGATTGCCGATGATTGATTTGCGCAATGTTCAGCACCATTTGTGACCCTCAGATACTGAAACAGTCCATGTTCAACTACAGTAAGATCTGGACAATGTCCAGGCTTGGGCTGACAAGTAACATTTATGCCACACAAATACCAGATAACAACCATCTCCACTAAGAGACATTCTAACCACCACTTGATAGTCAATGGTGTTACCATCACTGAATCTCCCACTATCAACATCCTGGGGGCTACTATTGATCAGAAACTTAAATGGACTCATCATATAAAAACAGTGGCGACAAGAGCAGTCAGAGAATAGGAATACTGCGGCAAGTAACTGACTCCCCAAAGCCTGTCCACCAACAGCAAGACACAAGTCAGGAGTGTGATGGAATACCCCTCACATGCCTGGATGGGGGCAGCTTCAACAGCTCAACACTATCCAGCACAAAGCAGCCTACTTAACTGGCACCACATCCACAAATTTTTGCTCCCTCCACAAATGACACTCAGTAGTAGCAGTGTACTATCTACCAACATGCACTGCAGAAATTCACTAAGTATCCTCAGTCAGCACCTTCCAAACCCACGACCACTTCCATCTAGAAGAATAAGGGCAGCAGGTACATCAGAACACCACCACCTGCAAGTTCCCCTCCAAGCCACTCACTGTCATGACTGGGAAATATATGTTGTCAAAGTCATGGAATTCCCTCTAATAAGGGTATTGCAGATCTACCTACAACACACAGACTGCAGCTGTTCAAGAAGGCAGCTCACCTTCACCTTCTCAAGGGCAACTAGGAATGCGCAATAAATACTGGCCCTGCCAGCAACACTAAATCCCACAAGTGAATAAATAAGAGAAGGATACAGGTAGTATTGTGGAGCACAGTATGTGCGTCTCTGGTGATGTATAATACTGTAAGGGAGGTGCAACTCCTATCCATACAAACCAAAGCCCCTGTCTAAACTTGAAGCATCTACTAAACTGGGTATTGGCCAGATACAGAGTAAATACTGGCATCCACCTAATATTTGGAAAAATTGTCCAGGTACGTCTTGTGCACAAAATGTCAGATAGATCCAATCCAGCCAGTTACCATACTTTCAATCTACTCTAGATCAACAGCAAAGTGATGCAAAGGGTCATTGATAGTGCTACCAAGTGTCACTGGCAAAGAAATAACCTCACCAGAACTCAGTTTAGATTGTGCCAGGACTCCTCTGTTCCTGACCTCATTGGTCCAAACATAGACAAAAGAGCTCAGTTCCTGAGGCGAGGTGGAAGTGCTCTTTACCAGTGTTTCCTTTAAGCTGCATGCAGCTGCTCCAATGTTCCACACACAGCAATTGGTGCGAGGGTATGGATCACAGCTTTTACTTCCAGTTCCAGAAATTGCTGCCATGCATGGACCTCGGAAGACCACACAGAAGAAACAAATTAGACAGAACACTGCCCTTGACATCAAAGCCCTACTTGACTGAGTATGACATCAAGAAGCTTTAGTAAAACAGGTATCAGGGGAAATCTTTCGAAAAGGAAGATGGTGTGGTTGTTGGAGGTCAGTTATCTCAGATCCAGAACTCCAAGCAGGAATTCCTCAGGGGAGTATCCTAGGCTCAACTGTCTTTAGCTGCTTCATCAATAATCTGGCCTCTCCAGTGCTGTATGATTCTCCGACCTTCCCTCCAACATGAGTCATCGACGAACATCCCTGCCCTGAACTTATGGTGGAGGCAAGGCCATTGAAGAAGCAGCTGAAAATGATTGAGCCCAGGACACTACCCTGAGGAACTCTTGCGGAGATGTCCTGAAGCTGAGATGACTGACCTCCAACAACCGCGACCATCTTTCTAGTGCCAGGTATGAGTCCAACCAGTGGAGAGTTTACCACCTGATTGCTCGGGTCCTGTCACCTTCAATGGTTTGTGCAGACATACATCTAGGTCCCTTTGCTCCTGCACTCCGTTTAGAATTAAACCCACTATTTTATATTGTGTTTCAATTTCTTCCAACCAAAGTGCATCATCTTGCACTTCTTGGCATTGAATCTTATCTGCTACGTGTCCACTCACTCCATCAACTTGTCAATGTCTTTTTGATGTTCCACATTGTGCTTCTCACAGTTTGCAATTCCTCTCAGTTTACTTCCAAGTAAAAAAGCTGGCCCAGCCAATAATGGCCACATCTCCTGACTGAATAAAAGAAAGCTCATGTCCCATCACATACTCCCAGGGTAAATACACCATGGATACAGAGTAAAGCTCCCTCTATGCTGTCTTGACTGTATATCATACAAAAAATACCAAATATTTACACAATGCCTCTAAAGAAGAGTTCCACAAGTCTTCACAAATGAAAACAGAAATGGACACAGTGATGGCAGATGAAAATAGATTGGTATTAAAGGAGGAAGTAGTGGAGATGTTTTGAAATATGAAATAATGATTCCAAAAATGTACCCTAGACAGGGGACACATACAAGAGATCAAGGTCAGTAATCTGTAGAGTTTCCACTGAAACTCCTCAGACTGCTCCTTGAAGCAGAAGACAGTAAGTCTATTTCCCACAGCAAATGAATATGAATTTTTGCTGCATTTCTGGTCTATTCAGACATAGCCAGAGAATCTCCTGAAATGACTTCGCCTCCCATTCCTGCACAATTACCTTTGTTGGTTCTCAAGGAATGTTGCTTGACTCTATTCTATCTTGCTTTTACAAGCTGCCCCTTAGTGACATCATTTTAAAACACAATAGGTTCCACATGTACACTGGTTACAACCAGTGCTACCTCACCATCAATATTTGACTGCTTCAGTTTCTTTGGACTAAGCACATGAGAAATAGGAGCAGATGTGTGTCATTTGGCACTTCAAGCCAGCCTGCCACTCAGTACAATCATGGCTGAACTTTGACTTCAGATTTCCCATACCATGTCCATAATAGCCAAATTAGTAGATAAAAATTGATGAGTCTTTGTTTTGTACATAATCAATACATCTACATTGGTTCCTGGGACAAGAGGGTTTGCCTATGACGGGAAGCTGTGTACATTGGGTCTGTGTTCTCTGAGGTTTCGAAAAATAAACATTGATCTCATTCAAAGATAAAAGGGGAGACAGCTTTCCTCTTTCTGGGGAATCTCGAACGTATGGAGCTGGGACAGAGGCCCAGGGTAATAGGTTAATTATTTAGAACTTAGATGAAGATAAATTTCTTCAGTCAAAAGATTTTGAGTTTTTAGAATTCTCTGCCCTGGAGGTTTATGGATGCTTCATTGGTGAGTATGTTTAGGGTTGTGATATACAGATTTCTGGGGTCTCAATAAATTAAAGCATGCGGTGAGCAAGGGTTAAAGTGAAGTTGAGGTAGATTAATATTGATCATGCTTGGGGGGGGGGGGTGCTATATGTCTACTCCTGCTCCTATGTTTTACGTCCAAAGTCTGCTATCCACAACTCTCTGTTCTCGATTCATGACCCATATGATTGAAAACGTTTCTCATCTCAGCCTGAAATGGCAGGTCCCTTCCTCTGAGATTGTGAGTCTGCATTTGTCACATTGGTTGTCCAACATCCAACGATGGATGAGCTGAAATTTAGGTCCTGGAAAGAAGGAATCCTTATCTTTAGTTTCTATCATAAATTCAGTTTCCCAGCTACCAATACCAAACCTCTCCCTGGCCACTGTGACTTTCAAAGAGACTTAGCAGAATTATAGTATCCTATTTGACTCCCTGCTAAGTTTTCAATCCTGTATCCTTTCCATCATCTGGATGGCTTCCTTACAGATTGGTAACATTTCCCCTGCCTCAACCTAGCTGCTACTGAAGCCTATAGCCATCGTCTGTTACCCTTGGACTCCTACTCCAGGGCTTGTTTGGCTGGCCTCCATTCTCCATGTTTCAGTTAACATTGGCTATACAGACAAGAAAGAAGGTTCAAGCTGAGACAGACTGTGAGTTCACAGCCCTCAATGGGTTAACGTCAACTTCCTCTGAAAGCAGCAAAAAATCCGGCCCCCACACACTGGCTTGTACAGGATGAGTTAGAGGCAGGAACACAGAGGCAACAAGGAAGGCTGCCATCCAGCCATTCAGACTGACATGGTGAGTGGGAAAACAAGAAATGCAATAGAACGGATACTACCCACTAAGCGAAACAGAGACAAACACTGAGAATTACCCAGGGAAGCAGAGAAACGAGCAGTGAGATACAGACAGAATAAAGACAAGCAGAGATGGATTTAGAGAAATAGAATCGAGAAAAGGGTCAGCGACTCGGAGAGAGAAAATAAAGGCAGAAGGAACATACAAGGAATAGATAAGTGGAGCGCAGTGAGGTGGCTAGAGACAGGGAAAGACTGACAGATCGAGAACGCAGAGAACAGGAGCTCCCTGAGCCATCTCCAGCCGGAGCCGGGACCCAGCGCTGGGGCTGTTAAATGATGAAGAAGACGCTGCCGAATAAGAGGGTGAGTGGTGCTCAAGGGCCGGGGTCTGAGAGCTGGGCTTGTTCAGGGGGGAGGGGGGAGGTTCGCTTTGTGGTCGGAGTCTGAGTCTCGGGGAGGAGGTGGGTGAGGGTGCCTGGTTCTGAGAGCTGGGCTCTGGGGTCTGCGATCTGGGGCTGGGGTCTGGGCCGGGGGTGGGGGCCGGGGGCGGGGGGTTGGGGCGGGGGGCGGGGGACGGGGGCGGGGGCTGGGTCTGGAGTCCGGGGCTGGGATCTGGGATTTCAGACTTGGGGCTGGGGTCTGGGGTCTGAGGCTGGGGGCTGGGGTCTGGGATTTCAGACTTGGGGCTGGGGTCTGGGGTCTGAGGCTGGGGGCTGGGGTCTGGGATTTCAGACTTGGGGCTGGGGTCTGAGGCTGGGGGCTGGAGTCCAGGGCTGGGGTCTGGGATTTCAGACTTGGGGCTGGGGGCTGGGGGCTGGGGTCTGGGGCTGGGGGCTGGGATTTCAGATTTGGGGCTGGGGGCTGGGGGATGGGGCTGGGGGCTGGAGTCCAGGGCTGGCGTCTGGGATTTCAGACTTGGTGCTGGGGGCTGGGGGCTGGGGCTGGGGGCTGGGATTTCAGATTTGGGGCTGGGGGCTGGGAGATGGGGTCTGGGGTCTGAGTCTGCGGCTGGGGCTGGGGCTGGGCACTGAGTCTAAGAGTCAAGCTTCATCTTCCTCATTCTGTCCCATCTTATTTATATGTGCAGGATTGGAGAAAATAAACCGGAAGTTTTTCTTTTTAAAGGGGGGAGGGAGCGAAGGGAAACCGAATAAGCTCAATGGGGAAGAGGCCAGTGAGAGCAGCTAACTCTCCAGGCACTAACATTGCGGATTTCTTTCACTGTCCAGGGCACCCAGGAAGGCAATCAGCCTCCAAGCCAACCCGAAAAGTCTGGCTGGATTCGCAAATACTGCGGGAGAGGAATATTCCGGGAGATTTGGAAAAACCGCTACGTGATCTTAAAGACAGATCAGTTGTACATCTCAGAGAAGGAGGTATGTGTCATGACACTGAGGATCCTAAGGCACAGAGAGAGGGTTTTGAGGCACGGTGAGAGACTCCCCAGTTATGGAAAATTCATGGAATCTCAACATTCACCGGAACAAAATTTTACATCTCAATCAGTGCTAGAGAGGTTTACTTGATGTTAGTTTCAGTATCTTAGATTCTGAAAGATGTTGGGAAGTTGGAGAATTTTGTTAGGGTTCGTGTTCCTGATATTGTCAAGTGACCTCCATTATCCCTGGTGTGCTGATATTATTTTAAACTTTCAGTTCCCCTCGCTCAATATGTATTGGACACTGAGTACACAGGCAACAGTGGGTACAAAAGGGAAGGCAATTTTAAGAAGCATAGTTTTGATCCTCGTTTCAGATGCAGAAGATCTAACCGTTGGATGTGTCACTGCATCGGTGTACAGTCCTGTGATGAGTGTTCACTTCCTGTTCATGCTCGATTCAAAGGCCATGTGATTTCCAATAATGTCCAACCCAGCAGTCTCTTTGTTTATATTCATTTATTCCACAAAACTCTCATATACAACAATGTCACTGGTTCCATCTCTCTCCTACATCCTCCATCACTGGCTCCATCTCTCTCCTACATCCTC